TCACTCACCTGTTGGAGCTGTGAGAGCACTTCAGGTATTTTGCAGAGATAATATTCAAAGACAGAATTGCATCCACAGCAGCTTCATCCACCTCTGCTTTATTCCTTATACGCCCTGAGAAGGGAGGAAAGGGAATCAAAACTCAACAGGAATTTGTTTTCCCAAGTATCCTTTGTGATTAACAAGCAGCTCTAAGTGGAAGTGAAAAACTTCAGTTTTTTCTCTGGATCTTTTTTAAATTCCTCCTCCCACAGACAATACAAAAATGACAGAATCTGATGCCAAGAGAAATTACCATTAGTAGTTTTTCTTCCTTTCAGAGCTAAATGCAGAACAACTGACTCACCAACAACCAGCTCTCTCACATCTTTCCAGTGCAACTCACTGCCCTTCTCATGGATGATGGTGACTGTGATTCTACGCTGGATTCCCTGGGAGAGTTCAAAACCAAAACACTGGTGAAGTATTCACACACACAAACATCATCTATTTTGCACTTATACTGCAAAAGTGAAGCAAATAAGGTCAGTTCAACCAGTCTGTGACTCAACAAATACCTCTGTGTTTCAGGACCCTAAAATTAACTCCAAAGGAAGGTTATATTCTCATGTATAACAGAAATGAAATGTTTCTGCCTCCTCACTGCACAAAGCCTGAGGTTCTCTAACCTAAAGTTGTCCTGAAATTGTTGCTATGCCCTAAAAGATAGTGAGCAGGAAATCCAGAACTGAGTAACTTCTTGCTTCTAAGAAACTTTCTGGATTATGACCATTATTCCTAAGCTATAAGAAATTCCCTATTATTTCAAGAACGAGAGGAAATGCAAGTGACAGGTAAAGCCCATGAAAAGGAACTGAGAAATTGAGAGTAGAGAAAACATAACTTTAAACCTGTAAACCATGTTTGACTAGGATTATCTTTAGAATCTAGCTAAAGACAAATTACTACTGAGCATTATAACAGGCATTGAAAGTGCCCTGAGACATGGGCACTTAACATCAGCCTCATGCAGTGTGGAAGAGTGAATGAAAGTTGAGTCCACAGGATCCTTCTGTGCCTTTAGCAGAGATGTTGGACAACACTGAAGGCACAAACCTGGTCCCAAAGGTTCCTGCTGTTTAAAAGGCTTTCACCTTTCATGAGTGGGATGCAATACACTGAGGGCCAAACCTATTCTCCTCACAGCCCAGAGCTACCAGACTAGGTCCAGAGTGACTGATGACTGACCCTGCAGCTACCATTGCACAGCTCTGAGGAAAAGGAGAGGACAGGCAAGATGCACAACCCAGTTATTAGCATTCTGTCCCCTCCTGCAGAGGTAAAACTTGCTGTTCCACAGCTTTCGGCAGGAATGTCCCCTGGCAGGGGAGGCCTCCAGTGTGATCCACAATAGCAGGGATGTACCTGTGTGAGACAGTGCAGTCAACAGGCAGGAAAGACAGACCAGCACAGCAACTTCTGCTGCCAACAGTTCCCTCTCCTAGAGTATCTAAAGACTTAAGAGTGTTTCTTTCTACTGACACCCAAACCAGACTCCTTATGGCACTGCAGCATCAGTCAAATACAGAAGGATCATATACTGTACTTCCAGTGCTTCTGGAAAACTCTGTGCAACTCACTTTCCATTATAAACCCTAAAGACCTGTCAATGGAAAACTTTCTTTGTAGCTGAGGTGAACATAAACCAGGGCCTGTTAGATGACTTCTGGAACATCAAGTCTCTAGTGACCCAAAGAATGGAAACTCATGGACTACGTGAGCTAAGTTTTCCCAGTGCCTGTTCAGCTGGTGTGCATGGGGTTCACAGTGGAGAGATCACTTCAAGTGTCATTCTACCTTCTTAGACCTTTCTAATGGGGGTGAAAGAATGTCATTCTCCCCCTTCAGTCCTTTCCAAAGGGGACAACTAATGCCAGCAGAATTGACACCCCATCACTACAAACCAGCCAGACCCCTGCCCAGTGATGACTGACAAACATCAACCTGAACAGAACAAAGGGGCAAAAACCCCTCAAACCTCCCAGAAACCACTGCTCTTGAAAGACAAAACATTAACACAGGACTTACTCCCCTGTTGGCTCCAATTCACTGATCTCAAACCACACAAGGAGGTCGTATTTGCTCACGCTCTGGCCCAGGCTGGGTTTGCTCATTGTGTTCAGCTTTGTGGCTGGCACTTAGAGAAAGAAAAGAAAGGAAGAAAGGAAAAAGAATGATTTACAGTCTGAATGAGTAAAACTCACTCAGGGCTCACAGGAACAAGCCATTTCAGTGATCCTATGTATCCTAGGCACATATGCAGACCACAGTTTTCTCCGTGAAAACGATGCTGCTTACAGCAACCACGATTTCTCAAAGTGTTTCTTCTGAAATCAAAGTTACTAGATTAAAAAAGCTAAATTATGAAACACAAGTGTATGCAAAAGGTTGGAAAAACACACAGTCTCTCTAGATTCACAGAAGTTTCCTCCAATGTGCATCAGTTATTTCATCAGTTTGATTTAGAGTTGCAATTACTGACCCAGAGAGTACATTTCCCCTTCCCATGCAAGAGGAAAAAGCAGAACTTAAAATTTCTTCACTTCTTCAGGTTACAAAGTGCCAGACTCCTGTGCCACTTGGATAAGATATTGTATATGCAAAAAAGCTGAACAAGACTTATTCCAGAGCCTTAATCCTGCCCAAGTATATTTCTGGGCTTCTTATCTTTGGGTATTAGTGATTATTACTGGCCAGATCCTCTCTAATTCCTTTCATACAAATGTAGGGATCAACCATGTTAAAATACAATGGGATAGCTTAAATTCTGGAAACAACCTGTCCCTCCCTCACACAGACCTCCCTCACCCCTTTCATTGCACATCTTCTGTATCTGTTCACTCAACTCCTGCAAACAGGAACATCTCAAAGCTCAGTTCCTGTGTCCTCTGACAGGGATTTTTGTACCTCTGTCATTCATTTTCCACTTTTTCTCCTTTCACTTATTAACCTCGTTGCTTTTATTAAGCCAAATAATGATTTTCCCTTCTAGCCTCTCAAGCCCCACTCTTCCCTTGCTCAGGTGCTTTTGGTTCTCCCTATCTTCACACCTCTGTGTGTCCTTCAGCTTTCACCATGGCTTAACTTCCCATGAACTGGAAGGGCACAACAGCTACAAAAAGGCCCTTACAGGAGTGTCTGTGTGGTCTCTTTTCTTGCTTTATTTCTGGGTAGAACAGCAGCTACCTCAGAGGGACAGATTGTACCAGACTCAGTTATTCACAGCACTACAACTCCAAGCTCATCATTTACTCTTCCCATTCATTCCTCAGGGCAGTAATCCTGCCAGACCATCACATCATGCAGCTGCACAAGAACTCATTACAGCTGGACTCAACACCGTTGAGGAACATTAAACACACAAGTCACTCAAGTTTATTGCTAAGCAGAAAAACTCAAAAGCACCAGAAGAGAAAAACAACAGAAAGACACATTTAACTAAACATGACAGGTGGTTCTAGAAGTTCTCACAGACTTGCTCTGGCACAGTTAATAGCCAGCAGGTCTTTTGGTTTGGTTTAAATAAAACAGAATACAAATGGAGGTGAGGAACAGCACTGGTAGTGGCAGAAAAAGATGATGAGCAAAAAGGAAACCTATATAGAACACAGCAGGATGTTTCCTCTGCAGCTAGTTGTGTTTTCAGATGCATTTCTCACCTATCACAAAAAATCAGAGCTCCAGAAAGTTCCAGGGAATGGATCCACTGGAGCCTGTATGGTTCTTTCCAAAATACCCCTAAACTTAAGCCCAGCATGACCAGAACCATGGCAGTTTCTAGTCCTAAGGATACTACACGCTAAAGGAAAAAAGGGAATTTTGCAGGAAGTTTTTGGAACTACTTCTACATCTACCATAGATCAGGTTTGGCTACTAACCATCTCGTTTAGGAGCCCTCTCACTCTGACAACTGGGAACAGGCAGAAAGAGAAAAGGTGGCAGCTGGTCAGCTCCATCCTGGAAAGCAGCCACAGCAGAGGAGGCAAGCACGTTGGCATGCTCGGACAGCGTGTTCAGCACGTGCACGTTTACATAGCCAGACATGAGATACCTAATCAACTCAATTTTCCTTTCATGGTCTGCAGAGGGAATGGAACACACACAGGAAAAAACAAAGAAAAGGATGGTAGAGATATGCAGGTAAGACAAAGATGGAGAAGGAGGAAATGGAAAGGTGAAGTGGAAAAACAGCAACACAAAAGAGTTTGTCATGCATTAGTGCAATTAGGCAATGATAACCAAGGGGCATTTCATAAGACTCAGTAAATGAGAATGTGAGAGAGCAAAGAGATGAAGTGGTTAATGATGAAGCAAATTTCCAGTCAAGAGCCATAGACAGATCCCATGGAATATGGTCAACACCTGAGGAATGGAATTCTACCCTCTAATGAGTCCAAGCAGAACTTCCTGCAGAGGAGGTTGGAAAGAAATAAAAATCCAACACATAAAAGGAAGAGAGAGAGCAAAGACAGGTTCACTGCCCTTCACAACACTCACTCCATCACATTTCTAGGTGTCCTGGATAGCTCAGGAATACACTACAACCTCCATTTCAGCAGCAGAGCTTTGATATACAGAGAGCTGTGCTCACCTGGCTTTGAGAGTGGCATAGGGGGAGGAAAGAATCTTCTGGAAGGCTGTGGAGGGCTGGGGAGAAATGGAAAGAGTTATCAATACAGAAGCAGCTGAACACACAAACACACACACGTCTTTTTATCACACACATTTTTGTCTCTAAAAATATTCTCCCAATTCTGCGAGGACAGGGAAATATCACCTGTCAGGAAAACAAGTGGACTCAGAGCACTCAGACTAACCTATGTCCTTTCCCTGTTCTAACTTAACTAATCCTAGCTGTCTGTAAAAATAAAAATATGAAAACCTTTAGAGTTTCCAACTGCTCTACCTCCATTCTGCACTAAAAAATTCAGCAGGTAACAGGTATTTTCCAAAATGACTTGAGGAAAAGGAACAAGTCTCAGCTGACATTAAAATCAGCTTCTTCAACAGCCTCTTCCCTGAAGCTGTGAAGACAAAGATGACTTGGGGTCCTTTCCCTGAGTCCAAAAATTCAAATGCTTAGCAACATGGGCACTAGGAACCTTTTGTTTGCCTCCAGTCTCATCTCTTCTTTAGTCATCCTACCCTCAGGCCACCAGGACAATGCTCTACCCACCACAGTGTCTGCAGGGTGGATGTAGATGGATTGGCAAAACAGCTTTCCATATGTGAGATGGCAGAACAATTCCATCACTCACTACACTGGGGAAATTGGCCTCTGCCAGCACTTTTACCCCCATGAGGAATTCTGCCTGTGAGGGTGTGGCTGTTGGATCACAGGAGTAGGTCATACTGCCCAAACTGCAGTCTACCCACCACAGTGTCTGCAGGGTGGATGTAGATGGATTGGCAAAACAGCTTTCCATATGTGAGATGGCAGAACAATTCCATCACTCACTACACTGGGGAAATTGGCCTCTGCCAGCACTTTTACCCCCATGAGGAATTCTGCCTGTGAGGGTGTGGCTGTTGGATCACAGGAGTAGGTCATACTGCCCAAACTGCAGAGAGCTACCTCACAGGAGTAGGTCATACTGCCCAAACAGCAGAGCTACCCTGAGCATGATGCCAAAGTGCCTTTCTGCTAGAAGAGTGACCAATACCTGTTGAGATCCTGTCCTTGCAGGTGGAGAGGATGCTGCTGATAATGCCCAAAGACTTCAAAGACAATAGGCTTTGTTTTGATGTACTCCACGAACGATTCTGTCACCTCTACAGCAATCTATTAGCCACAGGGAGGAAAGAAAGTGAGACATTCAAAAGGAAATCTCTTTTAGGAGCCTGTATTTTTCATACCATTTGGTGTCACTCACAGTAAAAGCAACTGCATTCCTGTTAGGCTTAGGCATTAATTCTACTCTGTGATAAAGGAGCAAATGAAAGCCTCAGCACCAGGCACTTCACACAGGAGAAGAGGAAGCTGCATGTAACCAAAGGATTACACAGCTCACAGAAATAGACATATCCAGTTCATCTGAGACCATGAGCACTGCTATTCACACACATTTTATTTCCTGCATTCCAGGCTGTTTTCAGGGAAGGAAACAGAGAATTCAATGGCAGGAAGTGGAGGTGAAACAGAAGAGTTAAATCTGCCACACAGCATCATTCTGCATCTTGTCTTCCCTTGGGAATTACATCATTCACCTGATCAGACCCACTGTCTGTTCTTAACTCCCCTTGCCATGAAGGCTACACCCAACTCCCAGTGCTGGAACAGGCACCTACTGCTCACACAGAGCTGTACTTACATTCTGGACGTGGTAGAACCCCAGGGGAGTCCCTCGGCCGTTGTTTTTGAGAGGTTCTGTTGAGAAAGCTTCATCATGCCGATGCAGAAAGCTTTAAAAAAACCAAAAATCAACCCCAAATCAACCACCACAGAATGGTTTAAGGAAGATTGCTGTGCTGTGAACCCAACCCTGAAAGGAAACCCATAAATTTATTCTGCTGGCACTTTACAGGGAGTCGAGCGATGGCCTAAAGCCAGGAATACCCATGTCTTGTGGGACCACAGTTCCTGTGCTTGTTTTAGGTCTTTATGATTCCCATTTTTTATTCTCTTTCCTAAGAACCTAAGGCAAAGAACACTTTCACTTGAGGGCTATCCATTTACTCAAGCTTTCATTCCACTGAGCACAGGCAGGATCTGGTATTGAATCTTCCATATTGAAAACTTAAAACCTTAGGATATCTATAAAACTGGTAATTTAAGAGTCCACATTGATGTCTAATCCCTTTCTGTAGAACTTGATTCCTTAATACTCTGCTAACACAAAGCAGGAACCAGGAATTCCAGGAACTGAGGTGGTGTTTTTCCCTGCTGTACCACACTGCCACTGATTTGGACAGTTCTCAGTCAAACCCTCATTGTCCAATTTGCTCTATCAAACCATTAATTGCCTTATGTAAAGAGGGACAAATTCTTACTTGAACTGGCAGAAGATATCTGCATATTCAGGCAGGATTCCACTGGCCTGGAGCACTGTCACACGGAAGGTGAACACACTGCCCAGCTTCAAGTGGTCACCAATCTCCTCAGTGAATCCTTCCATGGTCATCTTTCCATCCAAAGTGGCTGACTTCAAGTCTTAGGGAGACACAAACATCCCACATGAAATCACTTTGTTCTTTTTGGTTTTTCCCCCCCTTTCTTTTCTTAAAATATCCCATCAGGAAACAGTTTAGTTCCACCATATTTTTTTTTTCTTTTGAGCCCTAATTATTTCCTGATAATCAGAAGATCCAAATACCAGGGAACAGATTTTCAGCACAGTTCTTCAAATGAGTAACTCCAGGACCTCTCACTGTAACCCACCAGTTACACCTCTCCCTATCATTCTTGAAGGACACTCAGATCCCCTTTCTGTCACTGACTCAGTGTCCCAGATTTCCCTTAATTTCTCTAAAATGACTCCATATTCCTTGCTTACCCAGCTCATTCATTCTGTTGATCTCCTCTGGAGGAGTGGTAACATCTGAGTTCTGTCCTTGCCCTTCCACAATCCTTAACTCCTCCAGGGACAGCCCAGACCGAGTCATGGCAACTGAGGAAAAATCACTCTGAAAAATGAAGTGGGATGTTAGACTCCTGCAGTTCCTGGGTTTGCCATCCCCTTCTTCCTCTGCAATACATATTCTTGATTTAGAAGCACAAACTACTACACTCCAAAGTAACCTGACTCAATTTTAAGACTTACCTTATCAAAATATTCATTGTCAAATGAAATCTTGGCTGTGCCAGACTGTCGGATACCAGAGCCATAATCTGGGGCTTCCTCATCAGCTGTAAAAACAGGAAAGAAGAAAAGGTAAGTATAGGATGGGAAGGAGAGGAAAAACCCCTCAGAGTTATCTAAATGGAAATCCTGATTACAACAGAAACCAGTCAGGAAGGCAGAAGAGTTATCTAGTAACAGATTGAAGTGTTGGAAAAACCATGTCAGAAATCTATCAAGCTATGAAGTTTCACTATGAATATACTGAACTTTAGAGATTTTTGAATGCAAAACAACTCCAGTATTCATTTTTGCTTATCTCTTTACTCCTGAGGTAAATTGACACAGATTTGAATTGCCATGCAAATCCTGCAACCACAAACTCAGTGGTAACACCAGCAAAGCTCCACGAGTACATGCTGAAAGTCTGAAAGGCAAATCTGCCCATACAATCTGCCCATTTAACCTCCTCCTCCTCATGGAGAGCAACAACAATGGGGCCTGGTTAAATGCCAGAGCTTTTTTCCAGAGTAAATGGATGCTCACAGCTGAAATCCCAAGGTTTAGAATGTGTTCCAAAGCTTTGCTTAGGGGCCCAGTAATGCCACGGCCCTTTCTCAAGAGATGTCCCCAGTTGAGTTTCTATTAGCCATGGTGTGCTTTGGTTTTTTGGATGGATAAATAAAGCATTTATTTGGAAATATTCAGTCAATGCTCAGGAGACCAAACCAAACTAGAAATTAAGAGTTTTGTGCACATTAAACCAGATTTTAATTCAGTTGCTTTAGTCCCAGAGTGATTCTTACACCTTCAGTGGCTGAGGTTTCATTATATGTTCCCATGGAGAGTGAAGCTTCCAGGGTTACCCTACCTAAACAAGAAAGAACTGCTGGCACTTAGCCACAGCTCAGAGGACAAATGATGGGAAGGATCTGTGCTCCAGCAGCATGGACAAGACATGGCTAACTCCCAACTCACCTCACACTGAGCAAGGATGAAATAGTAGCAACTAGGGAACTGCAGTTAAGCTCTGGCACACATACAGTGGCAGTTCAACACTGGATGGGGCAGTTACCATCCCCACAGATCTACCCTTCTCCTCTGAAAAGTTGGGAATTCTTGGTGATTAAACAGTGTGTTAAAGCAGCTTCCAAGTCTCAACGTTGTTAGTGAGGTAATGAAGAAGAAAACTGCTGATTTCTGTTTATTCCATGCTGAAAACCATCAGTTCAGGAACTCCTTCACGTGCTCTTGTCAGACACTGCAGAACACACTTCTGTGCATTATTTAGGTTGGTTTGAGCACAGCAACTTGGTATATTTGTATTTATTTTTATATATTTATATACACACTCGTATATTTAACTCTACTGCAAGTCACCACAACTATCAAACTTGCATGTACCCTTGTCCACTATTCACACTGAGAGAAAACCTTTCTGCTTTAGTTTTAGTTTTCAGACTTCTTGTCCACTATTCACACTGAGAGAAAATCTTATTGCTTTAGTTTTAGTTTTCAGACTCACTGACACTAGTTAGACCTCTTACTGTTCTAAGAAAGTGTTGCATAGTTGCCAGGTATAAAGTTCAGTGTTCAGCCCCATCATTTAGATCACTAGTATGGTTTCAAGATGTACCCATGTTTGGTCCATATGATTCACACCAATAAAGTAATTTCAAAAGCAAGTTAGCTATAAAGAACAAGTGTTCGTTGCAATGTGAAAATTCAGGTCTGAGTATGAGAGAATGGTTTGATTTGTTTGACTCGTTTTTAAAGCTGCAGCTGATCACAGTGAGATTCAGATTAGATGCTAGGAAAAATCTTTTCACTGTTGGGTGTTCAGACACTGAAATATTGTCCAGGGAGGTGGTGGAGCCACCATCCCTGGAGGTGTTTAAGAGGTGTCTGGATCTGGTGCTGGAGGATCTGGTTTAGGTGTTCCAGAAGTGACAGGTTAATGGCTGGACTTGATGATCTGAGAGGTCTCTTCCAACCCTGATGATTCTATGATAGTGTAGCACAGAGCTGCAGTGTGAAGCTCAGTCTCTCACCTGCTATGGCCTGTACTGCCACACGCAGAAACCCTCTGACTTCTCCCTTCTCACTCACAACAGCCACTCTGTGGATCAGGGGCACTGGGTACAGCAGATTGCTCAGGTACACGAAGGCTCTGGGAAGAGGAAGGAAAGAAAACACAAACAGCATTAGGCAGTGATATGCAAAACCAGCCTGCAGTGTTTGCTTGGCTAATGGCACAGTCAAACCTTCACACAGTCACTTCACTCCATCTAGGAGACCTGCATGAGGTCCTGTACCCACAGTGCCCACACAGGGCTTGGCAGCACAAGTGCAGCCACCAATGCTCCAAACCAGAGCATACTGGAGACACAGGACTTAGGAGAATGGGTTACAAACACATGGAGGACACACCTGGAGATGATGGCTGTATGGAAGGTAACTGGAGATGCAACAGTTGTGAATGGAGCTGTTAGCAAGATGGTACAAACCTACAGGGAATTCCTGATTCTCGAGAGCTCTTTGAGTTTTCAGCCCCATGAGTGTAGTTTGGAGTGATAAACTAAAAGGGAATTGATCTACTGTGTTCACACCCTCAAATATCTGACAGAACATACACTCTGTAAAACAGATTGACCAAATGTTTTCTCTCCTCTGTGTTCCTTTGATAACACTGAGCAGAACCCTCAGAAAGCCCCAATAAACCAGGAGTTCTCTCTTAGGTTTCTTGGAGGATTCACTAAGTGTACAGAGAGCAGAAGACTGATAAGTCTTCACAGCTAAATCTCTTCAGGAGCTTTATATTCTTCCTTTCAAAACCAATCAAAACAACAACAAAACACCAAACCAGTACTCTAGAGCCATCATTTACACATGACAGTTTGCAAAAGGAAAAGGAGCATTTAGGCCCAGCTCCTGCATCTAACTTCTACACTACCTTGTCAAGTTCTGTACAGGGAGGGTCAATTTTGGAACAGTAAGTTTAATTGTACAGATTTTATTTCAGGGTCAGACTAATGCCATTAAGTTACTTTACGTTTCTGCAATGATTTGCAGAAGTTTTTCAAGTATAACACTTCAGTGCTTGAGCCAAACTTTGTGTGTTGAGAAGTCAAACAAGTCAGGTAAAGAACAGCTCTCAGCAATGGGAAAACATGGAAGATTTTATTTACTGAGCTGAGAGTTCAGAGCACTGAGAAGTTTAACCAAGAGTTTTACCAGTCATTAAAGTGACTAATTAGGTAAGTTTAAGAAATCTATGCATATTAAATTATACTAAACAACAGCAATTTGTTTCACCAATTTCCTTCTCGCAGGTTTTTTAATGAATATATGTGTATTTATTAGTATTATGCATAATTAATTGCTCTAATTTCTAACTGTTCTTGTCTGACATGCCAAGGGGAAGTCCTGCATGGCAAAGGGAAGTGCTGCTCCTTGGGCTCCATGCCCATTCCCAGGATGAATGAATCTTTTGAAATGACAATGTGGTCAAACAGGTGTCAGTTGTGAACCAAAGACACAAAAATAAAGCTACTAAAATACAAAGTGGTGATGAAATGCAATAGAGAAAAGGATGATTAATAAGGCTATAAAAGTAGAAAAAAAAAAGAAAAAAGAAGAAAACCATGTAACAACAAAAGAAAACCAAAAACAACTGCAACAGAACACTTGACTAAGATTAGGGTTTAATTCCTTTTCAGTCTGCTCCAAAGTGAGGAAAGCACTGGGACAGCAGGGGAGGGAGAAGAGACTAAATTTAAAGTAACAAAATGAGAAGTTTAATATTTTTTTTTTCTCTAAGATAACATTTTCATATTCAGCTTTGAAATCTGAGCCAGCAGCACCCAACCACACAAGAAACAGTTCCTCAGGCTGGAACTGCTCCCTTGGACTGGATCAGGGATGGAGTTCAGGAAGGTATTTGGGTATATGCTCAACATGGGTAACACAACCAGGTTGAAAACCACATTTCAAGCCAGAACAGACATTTCCCAAGGGAAAGGGATCCAAAGAGCCTTGTGTACAGTAGCAGACAGTCTCACTATCTGGAAGAGAAAGGCATTCCAGCAACCTTCCTGATTTGAAGCCAAACTAAGGGAAAGTGAAAGCACTGATCATGAAAAATGAAAATATGTTTACTTGCATGGCAAAAGTTCTACTCAACACCTGAGAGCCCAAGCAATCAGCCTAATTAACAACTACCACATAACCATCCCAAGGGAAAAAATGTTCTTCTCATCTTCCTTAACTTCCTCCCATCCAGTCACCTCACCCAGCACGATCAGTTTAACTTAGAGAACGAAAAGGACATGATTCAGAAAGTTTTAAGCTTCCCATTTGTTGATGAAAATGCTGAATCTCTTCTGTAGAGTGGAGAGCAACAGCTCATGTGCTGTACCCAAACAGAGCTGGTTTGCACTGCTCCCAGTGCCATTCCACCTGCTTCACCACCAGCCAGCACCAAGTCAGGAAATCTTAGGGTTATCCTCCTCCTCTTCCCACATCCAGGAGGATTCCCACTCCCCAAACATCCCCTAAGTGTCCCCCTGCACCTTAGCCCAGCAGACTGAAAGAGGGTAGCTGTATTAGCAGAAAGATTGGTGAGGTAAAATGGCATAGTCACAACAAAACTAGAAAGTAAATTTAACGAACACAGGTTTTCAAAAGAAACCAAAACAAACCCAACAGAACTCAGAAGGATGACAGAGATTTTTCAAATGAACACATCAAGGTTGAAATAAATTATCCCAGAGTCCTCTCCCACCTCCCTTCAGAGCAGAGCAAACGCTCAGTGTGTCACACCATGAATAAAATCAGCTTTAAAGACAGCCCAGCATGCCAGGAGAGATGGCTAAAGGGACCAGCTCTTTTTGCCTTTTCTGTAAGAGTTACAAATAAAAGACAGTCATAGCACAGAGAGAGAAAAAAAGTAACCGAGATGGCCAAGGAGTTGGATAACTACCTGAAACACTTCTCCTCCTCCTTCCCTTCCTGCCCTGCACTCATTATTGCTGATGAACACATCGAAAATGCTAAAATTTAGCTTATTTGTCCTGAACATTCTACAACATACAACCCAGTGCCACATCGAAAATGCTAAAATTTAGCTTACTTGTCCTAAACATTCTACAACATACAACCCAGTGTAGTTAGAAGTGATAGGGAATTTGGGGTTTGTTATAAACTGGTCACTACCTTGTGCTCAGGACAATATCTGTGTGGATGGACAAACCCCTGGGACTGGTAAGTGACTGTTCAAAAGGAGAATTCTCAGGCTGGAAGACATTGAGGACTCACAATAGTTCCTACCCAGTGGTGCTGAACAGTCTAACAGCTTTCTGCTGACAGCACTGGCTCAGCAGAAGAACTGAGAGGAATAGAAATAGAAAAGAAACCAACAACTGGGAAAAATCAGTTCAGCTACCTACCCAGATAATACAACCCGAGTTTCACTCCTCAATACCATTTACAACCCTCCACGTGTGCAGCTCACACCATCCAGGCCAGTGCCCACAACTGCTGTGGCTTCATGTGTCCACAGAGCTCAGCACTCTCTGTAACACATGGACCAGGAAACAAGCTGTGTGAGTGCCAGGAAGCACAACTGTTCTCATTACACACTGTATTTGCTCAGCTTGTCTTGTGCTTCCTGAAGAGTTTGTCAAATGAAGATGAATAGCTCAACTTTTTCCCAAGCACTGCAGACACTGCTCTGGAGGAATAGGCACACCAGGAGAACAGGGGAACAGCTCTGTGCCTTAACCAGCTCACAGCCACCCCCACACCAGCCAGGAGGGATCTCCCAAACTGACTCCCAAACCCAATCACAACAACCTGAAAGAATCACATTGTGTAACACATTACCAGACATTGCACAGAAAGGCATAAATTAAAGATCACAGAGGACCAAAGCAATTTTTTCCATGTTTAGTAACTTTTGTTTCAAGGACTAGATGGAGGAAGCTCCAAGTTCCACTACAGACAGAGGTTACACACTACAGCCACACTGAGCTAAAAGCAAACCCAATCCCACTGTCCTGACCATGAAGTCTTTCCTGCTTACACTTACAGCAAAGGATAAAGCCAAGCTCAGGTCCCTTCTTGGTTCCTCCCTTCCTCCAGCCACAGAGCACTATCCACACCTGTGGCAAACACCTCTCTGACTGCTCCACCAAGGCCAGTGGCTGACAGGGTGAGCAGGGAAGCACAAAAGCATCACTGGGGCAGTTGGGAAGCAGAAGAAAGGGAAGCCAAGCTGCTAAATAAAACTCCTGTTTCTTGCATGTTTGAGTAAGACTATGAACAAACAAACAGTGCAAGTATTACATATTTTTAATGCAACTTGCTACCCTTAGGGTCTACAGCACAGACTGAGGTCTGACAATGCCTTAACTGTATCTAGATGGGCAAAATGGATAATACACTAAGACACATGAAGCAAACTTGTTTCAGAAATTCAAGCACAGTGCCTGGGAAAGTGCTGACAAACATCCCCAGACAGTGAATTTCAGTGATGATGACCTTGCACTGAGTAATACTGGCTACAGAGGGTCAAGCATAAACTGAGAAGCCAAATCACCTCTTGCCCTCAACTACTGAGAAGAGCTTGATCCATCCTCTTGGCACCTCCCTTTAGACACATTAATGGGCTCTCAGTTGTTTCTCCTTAAGACTGAACAGGCCCAACTCCCTTAGCCTTTCCTTGTAAGGGAGGTGCTCCAAACACCTCCTTCCACCTGCTGCCACACTCCTTTGGATGCAGCCCAGGGCACGGTTGGTTTCTGGGCTGCGAGTGCACACTGCAACTCACGAGTTGGTTTTCCTCAATTTATGGATATTTTGGCTAGACTGACAGATATTCCCTGCAGCACAAGGCAAAGCCATTGCAGCCTAGAGCAGAGCTGGTCCCTTCTGGCCATTCCCACAGTTAACCTCACCAACCTTCCCACTAAAATGAACCAGGGGGATCTGTCGTAAAACGGGTCGCGCCCATCATTGAAGAGGTCTGATCCCTCCTCAGTTCCAGCGTCGGAGCCAGTATCATCCACAAAGGCCTCATCATCAAAGTCCTCCATCTCATCCTGCTGCTCATCAGCCAGTTCAGTGATGTCGGAGTCAGCCGTGGAGAAAGTGGGGGAGGGCGTGCGGTCGGCAAGGCGCTCGTTCACGCAGCCATGGAATATGGGGGAGCTGGACAGCGGTGAACGGACACGGGTTAACAGGGGAGGGAGAGAGAAGTGGCATTCAACAGCTCTTTGGACACCACCTGAACCACAAGCAAAGGCTTCAAACCGCCTGGACTGCAACGAAACGTAAGGCATTGCCAATGAGGGCAGGGAGGAAGAGTCCTTGAACGGAGCAGGAAGCAAAGGAAAAAGGAAAATAAACATGGCTGAACAGAGAGATCTTGAGGCCACATCCATTTAAAAGAGATACAGTTCTTAGTTCCAACACATAGCATTTCTGTAAATGGAAACACTGTCAAGGTGCAGCCAACATCAGGAAATGTTAAAGAATCCCACGGGATACTTCCTCAGGGTATGACCAAACTGTTTGAACCACATATGTAAGGAAGGCCCTGGGCCACTTTTCCAGGGTTCTTCACATTCTCACAGCTCTGCTCCACTGGCCCTAGACAGCACTTAGCTACATTCCTTTAAACAAACTTAGAACTTACAGAGGGTTCACTCAAATCAGACTCTACAAGGTTACACCAGCACTAGCAATGTCCTAACGAGCATTTCCTACTCTTCACTACATTTTAGGTCTATCAGAATCCCTGAAAGACAAAACACACAACTGACACAGAGGCCATAGAGTTTATAACCACATTCAAAGTCAAAGTTCACCCAGAACTGACACGAGTTACCAGGGTACCAAGAGCTGAGATGATGCCACATACCTCCCAACAAGCTTGAACCAGTGGAAGCGATCGTAGAAGGGGTCACTGCCTGTCATGGTGCTCTCACTCTCATCCTGGGTGTTAGAGGCCATTTCCCCAGCTCTGTCATACATCTCACGCATCAGGTCCAACCTCTGCCTGGGTAGGAGAAAGCAGAACAACAAACTTTAGATGCAGTGAATAAAGAAAGCAAAGAACACACAGTGAAGTCCTGACTTCACCCACACCAAATCACACCTCGGAGCAGAGCAGGCTGTACCCTGAGTTTGGTACTGCACTAATTCCCTGAGATGTTAGGAATTCTCAGAGAAATTTTGTAGGCTAAGCCCTCTAAGCTCGAGGCAAGGTCACTGCAGCAGCTTATGTAAATCGGGGATTTCAATCAAACTCCTAAATATTCTTCTTTCCCATCTAATTCTGGCACTTTTTTGGCTTCCTTTTTTTGGATCAGACCATGTCGCTGAGTAATTTCAGCACCTCGTTGCATTCCACTCCAGACATGTTGGCATTTTGATTCAAAAGGCAAAGGATTCCATTACAGACTTTTATTTATTTATTTCATTGAAGAAAATAAGTGTTTCACACTGCAAGATCCTTTGTCTGGAAGTTATTAGTAGAAAAAAAAATTCTTCAGTCAATATTTAGAGAACGATGAAAAGAAATGTCATTTACATGTGATGACAATAATTTAGATTATAGTCAGAATTTATGTGGCTTCTACAGAAATAGAATTTTCTTTCTTGAAGCTTCTTATTGTAAATTATGCCTTATGTTGCCTGGTTGTATAACACAGGTGACAAGGATATTATTGCAGTGAAAGGACTGAAAAAAAGAGTTCATACAGAGAGATGAGCTGTGATGAATCTTTGCAGATTTGAAAAATAAAATTTCACCTCAAATTCAATGTGAAGGTGAGGTGAGATGCTGGAGAATCAGTGCACTTGTTCAAGGGCTCTAGAAAGTTGGTATTTAAGACATCCCACACTGTCTAGCAACTTGGCATTTGGCAGGACAGAGAGAGAAAACAGGAACAGAGAATGAACAGTGAGAGGGGAAATTTTTCAGGGAAGTTTCTTGGCTACAAGAAATGTTGTGCTCCAATCTTTACATACTTGAGTTTTTCTAAGGACCAGTAATGTGTTGCTCCATTCTTCAGATCCTGAACTTCCACAGCTACCACCGTGCGAGGGAAAGGTCTATTACTGTCCCTGGTCTTCTCCTGCTCAGTTGGCAAAAGCTCTGGGGGCAGTGGGGAGTAGAGGGTGTCTGTCAGCAGGACGAACTGGAACTGCACCTGGATGCAAAAAGAAACATTCCTTTAGCCCTGACAGGTCAGAAATTGGCATCATAAAGGGCCAGACACGTAACACAAGGCCATGCACGAAGCCAGTTTGACGGTCAGAAATTGGCATCATAAAGGGCCAGGCACGTAACACAAGGCCATGCATGAAGCCAGTTTGACTTGGAAACTCTGTGAACAGGTTCAGGGGGTTTATGCCACTTTTTTTTTTTTTTGGTCTCAATATGGCATAAAACATTTTTCAGCTGAGGACACATCTTGCCTTGACCACATGAAGTTAAAAGCCAAAAGGAAAAGACAAGGCCCTGGGGAGACCTGTGTGCACATGTGTCTGTGGCACTGTCAGGAACAAGAATAAGGGAAAGGAAGGAGAGGAGAATGTATCAACCAGATTGGCATGGGATGTTCACTCAGCCAAAAGTCTGAACTAGAGACTCATGATTTTCTGAACCCTTTTAAAGCCCAAACTAATAAGCAAAAGACATAACTTTAGAGCCCACAAGTCACTCCTACACAGTCGAAACTGATGAGTCAGAAAATTCCCAAAGCTGCTCTGCAGGTCCCCACCTTTTTCTTCAGCTCCACACTGATGGCATTGGCTTCTTTCAGGTACACTGCATTTCCCCAGAGCTGGTCCCTCAGGGAAGTGAACTGGTGGAATTTCCACTTCCTGAAAGCCCATTGAGCGAGTTCGTACTCGTGGCGTGTCCAGGGCACTGGGAAGGGCAAACAGAGAGAAATGAAACACTGTGGCCCCTTCTCAAAGCCATCACATGCAGTACCTAAAGCTCCTCCTGTGTCACCAAGCTCTCAACACCTTTTCTAGAAGAACAGAAAACAAATTTTCATTATTCAGCAAGGAGAAACTGGACTCAAACTTCCTCGGCACTAGCAGTGGAGATTAATGATGAGTAAAGGAGATTTGGAACAGAAGAAACAAAATGAATTCTACTCCTATTGTTTTATTTAACAATTATTAAAGCCAAATGCTGCAACAGTGGACTAAAAGGAAGTATTAAGGGAATAATAAACTATCTACTGTCCAGAAATGGAGTTATACAGTCATGTCACAGCATGCTAAGAACTCCTACCAAGGAGTAAAGAAACAACTTCAAAACAAGAAACAAAGACAACTGAGATGTTTTGGGTTAATACAGCTGAACTCTGTTAGTGCCAAGAAGGGAGAGAATCCTTCAAATTCAAGACCACCAAATCAAAGTCTGAGGTTAAACTAATCTAGTTTGGGCACTGATTGACTTTAGGGATGTCTATCTACTGTTTCTGTGGAACTGACTCTAGAAATAGGCATTTTCAGTCTTTATGCTGTGAGACTTACAGATCAGGAAGTTAAAGTGTGTTGCAGCTTTCCAAAGTGAGTTTCCTATCTACTGCAAGAGATGATACAGCAATCGTTCCTTTAGGCTTAGGTATACCCAAATTATTTTCTATCTACTGCAAGAGATGATACAGCAATTGTTCCTTTAGGCTTGGGTATACCCAAATTATTTTGAGCTTCAAACTCACCTTCTTCTTCCTCCTCCTCCTCCTCTGTTGTTTCAGCTGCCAAGGATCGAGTCTCCACCTGCTTCTGCAAGGCTTGGAGCTTACTCTCATAGTCCTGTGGGGAGAGAGGAGATACCGTGTAGGAGGACAGACAAAAGCCAGGAGAGAGCTGAGAGACACCAACACCTCAGAGGGAAGGACAGACACAGGGAACAAACACACAAATGCTCAGAGGCCACAGCAACATCTGCAGCTCCAGTGACCCCTTGGAGAGAGAGAAGACAGAGGCCAATACCATTAGGACAGTGGTGTTGGTTTCTAAGATCATCCAAGCTCACAGTGTCTGGAAGAGGGAAAGGTTTAGGATTATTTTTCTTTGCTAAAGACTGGAAGAGGATTTTTAGGGGAAGTTGCTTGCAGGGGAAAGTAGGAAAGAGGCAGAAAGTGAGGAAGGTACAGAAATAAATTTAAAAGGGGATTATTCACCTCCATTTTCTCAAACAGAAGGATTAACAGCACCACTGATTTGCCTTTTCATACAAAAAAAATTAATTTCAGATTTTAGGGAGAGGAGAAATTTTGTTTTCAGTGAAGTTTTCCCCTTGGCATGTTAAGAACACTCTCACATGTGTGTTTAATATACCAGGAAATAAAATACCACCACTGCCCTGGCAAGGGGGCAGAGAAGTCTGTGCAGTGGCTTCCCCACAAGGAATACTTCAGCAATACCTTCTGGTACAAGAGCATTTTCTTCCTGTTCAGCCTTATCATGCCTTGAAATAAAAGCTAAATCTAATGAGCCTTTTCTTATTTGCTGGTACAACAAACACAGATTAGAACAGAGTCACTCTTCTCCTGCTCTCAGGACCTACCTCACTGCTGTATTTTATTTCTCTGAGATAAACCTTTGGCATATATTACACAAATTCAACTGGTTTCTCAAGATTTTTATACAAGAGTTGCAGTATATTACACAAATTCAACTGGTTTCTCAGGATTTTTATAGAAGAGTTGCAGCAACAATTCACTAAGAGTGTTACAGACTTCTTAAGGAAAATTCTTGCAGCCATTCCTCTTGTATTCCAAACTTCTCTCTTCCACAGTTCCAAGTCCTAAAATTCTTCTCCAGTGCACAGTTTGCAGTAATGCACTCAAGTCTAAGAGCCACAGAAGCAAAGCTTTACATTTCCCTCCCACCCTATTTAAGCATCTCACTCAAACAGCTGCATCCTTGGTTCTGTGCTGCAAGGACAGTACTTAACAGAGCCACATTGAGACTGGGGCAAATCTACCCCAAGTTCAGTCAGAAAGACCTTTAGACTCTATTTGGAAAGGAGATAAGCCTGAATTACATTCCTTCAGGTTTGTAAGTAGCATTTTCTGGAGACAGCATTAAGAAACAGTAGCTGTGCCCTTAGAAGGCGCAGGATTATCAATACCATGAATTCAATATCCAGGGCCTGAAAAGTGAACTCAAAGGTCTATGAGTCTTTGAGGGCTGCATTTTCATTTGCTGATTTCCTCTTGAATATTTGCTTTGGCTAAAGTGCTCCTTCTCCATTTGTGTCTGCTCCATTCACTCTAAGTTGGCTCCTTACTCACACCACAGGAGCCCCAGCTCAGCAGAACTGCAAACAAAACAAACCTACCCTTCCTGCTGATATTCCTTCTGAAATTCTTACTGGCTTAGCAAAAAACCTATTCTGGACTTCACGTTTCAGACTCATTACCCTTCTGGAACACTCAAAATATACTTACAAATTCTTTCAGATAAAGGCACTTGCTCTGAGCTTTTCCCCCATCCCCTGCAGATAATGCTGTTACTCCTCAAACCAAGATAAAACACACCAAATGCAAAGTGACACGGACAAGCTTCTCTCACTTGCAAGAAAAAAGGCAAAACAGCTTCATTTTCCTGTAGCCTGAAGGTGATAATGTCATTTGGAGCAGCCAGATTGTAGAAACAGAAATCTCAAGTAGTGTTTTAACTAAATCTTTTCAGATTCTTTATGAGAAAGCAAAAAGCTGCAGAGGGAATGGTCAAGAATCAGCAGCATTCCCTGCAAAAATCCTATGTGAAAACTGAGGCACATTCAATTCACTCATAGACAAAGACCTGCTTCTTGTCTTCTGTGTTTTCAGACCTGTGAGCCAACTAAGTGTATCTTCTGCACACTCAAATACCCTGACAAATAAATGCTTACCATCAGCAGACACTGTTCATTGACTCCACACCAAAACATTACTTAAAAAAACAAGTAAAATAATTGAAGTTTGTTTTCTCATAATTAAAAAAAGAAATAGGCACCATTTCCCCAAGCAGGACTATGATTGTCTCCTGGCATTGGACACTGGGTAGTATTTAAAACTCCCTGGCACTGAGCAGAGCTGAATTTCGGGTTGGTTCCCTTAGAAGCTGCACTGAAGGGCTTGGTTTGCTCTCTGGAGGACTGGTCAGCTCTCCAGGTAAAGCTTTTCCAGATCTGATTAGTGATAAATCACACAGAATTGTTAGTACTAAGCAAAGGTGCCTCAAGTGCTAGAAAATGGAAAAACCTGCCCTGGAGGTCCCTGCCCCAAACTCCTGGAACCCAATGCCTATTGCTGGACAGCTTAAAACTGCTTGGGATGATCATCTTCAGCAGTGTGGGCAAAGGGAATGCAAAGTTTACTTTGCCCAGGGGCATGGAAACATCTAAAGCCACAAGAATTAGAGATTTTGTGGAAACAGAAAGGAAAAAAAGCCCACAAAGAAATGCCACATACACTCAGACCAGGCAAAGCTTTGTCAGACCAGACTGGAGCAGCTATGGAAGCAGAACTCTGTACCTAACAACTGAGATTTTCTGAATCTATGAGATGTCTGCCAAGGCACTGCTCTCTGTGATTCCCTCCTGGGTTTGAGGGACACAAAAATGTCCATTTCTTTAGTCTTCAATGAGCAAATAAACAGGGAAGAGCCAGCTCTGAGTTTTCATCCAGAATTCAGACAAACAGTGCACAGGATGGTACAATGGGGCAGCACTCAGGAGCAGAGCTTGCAGCCCCCTGTGCTATGAAAAGCTCTTTTTTTCTTTTATATTTAATTTAAACAAGCTGTGTGAGAGGAGACACAAATCTGTGTAGGCTGCTTTGCATTTAACAGCAGAAAAGCAGGGTGGATGGACTGATGAGAATCAGGCTGAGGAACAATTAAAGAAACCTTTTTAACTCTGCTGGAACAATCCCAACCCCGAGACAAAAAACCAACCCAGGGCAAGGCTGCAGTCAAGTTCCATTTCCATTGCACTGAGACAAGTCTGACACTTACAAGAGTATTTCATAGTTTATTGAAAGAGCACTGTTACAATACAAACCAGTTCTGCTGTTCACAAGGCAGATGTTTGCTCTTAAGACAATCCAAAACTTGGTTTTTTTCCTTAAAACAATAGACAGATCTGAAAATCCCATTTAATTCAAAGGCAGCTCACTGCTTTCTTTACAGTACAAATGGTTACACAGCATAGATTTCCCATGTGGCAGCTCCTGAAGTGATTCAATGGGAAGGATCCGAGAAAAAAAAATTCAACATATAAAGGAGAAAGAACAAAATTTCAACATAAAAACAATTAAGGACAAAACAGGGAGGGAGATATTGAAACTATGCTGACTGTACTGATAAAACCAGCATCCTCTAATTTGACAGATCCATAAATCCAGACTGCTTGGGAGAGGATGCTGGAGTCAATCTGAGGAGTGTTGTGACATGATTTCAGCCCAATCCCCAAATCCACATGTCCTGAGTGAGTCCTAAAGGATTTTAAGAAAGCATCACTGAGGCACAGGTGGATCCCAGCCAGCTGCCAACACACACAGCACAGCAGCACTTGGCAATGGCCCTGGAGCTGACTGAAACTGCACTTCCAGCATGTTTGCCACATTCCCACTAACCTGAAAGCCTTTTCACACAGACTTCTATGGAAGCAGCTGTCTCACTGCTCATTAGCTCCATTAACACAGGATTTGGAGTGAGAGGTGTGTTTCTGAATAGTGCAAGGAGATCACAGTTCTCACACTGTTTCCCTGATCAGATGAGGCACTGCATTGCAATTAATATCCAATTCTTAAACATCCTCCTAAAAACCAGGACAAAAGCTGCTTCCTGTGAGCAGACTAAACTCCATTCTGGCACTGCCTGACCTTGCTCTGTTTTGTCAGATCACACCACAGAATAACCAGGGTTGTTCTCCCAGTGCTGCACTAAACCAGCCTGATGGCAACCTACCACCAGCATCACCACCCAGGCACTTACAGAGAGGAGTTCTCAGATTTATAAGCTGAAATCAGTTGGCACAAATTTTTTTAGTGTCTAGGATTAAGGCATCAAGCAGCAGGAGATATAAATCTCATGTCAGTACGTGTAGTTCCATGGACTTCAGCATCACCCCATGCTCAATCAGGTGGTGATTTCATACAGGCAGCCCCAACCCCTCCACAGAACAGACAGGAGATACAACTGGTTTGGTCTTCTCCCATGACCAACCCCATGCAAACTAACCCTGTTTGGCTCATGGATCCCTGCAGAATGGAGAGGGTTTTCCCAAACTTTCATTTTTCACCGAGTCCAAGCCTTTTGGAGGATATAAAGGAACTCCTTACCCTTGACATGCACAAACCAAAGTGCAATGCACAACTAAAACAGGATTCTAAAAGAAAGGCAACAGCAAAACGTTATTTGCAGCCCAAAACTCATTTTGCAATTTGGAGTCAAGCTCAAAGTATTGCTCATCTACAAGGCCTCTTTTCTTGAAGCATCAAGACATTTTTGGACATGATGCTTTAATTTCCTTTGTTCATAAAGGCCAAACATGAGACAAATGCAAGGTACAAAGCCAGATTTGGGCACAACATTAAACCTGCCATAAAAAACCTCCCAAATGATGGAATGAGTTTGATTTTTTAGGAGTTGGAGGACTGACTTTGTTTGTCCTACTGGGACAGAACTAAGAGCTGACACTTGACTAATCCACAGGGAAATGATGTGTGGCTGCCACGAAAGGTGGCACAACCAGCACCTACAACAGGCACAGCTGAGATGGGGGAAAAGTAGGACAGGACAAAAAAAAAAAAAAAGAT